TGTTCCAGTTACTATGACCATTTATGTGAAGCTGCTTTAACACAAGCACTATACAAATAAAGTTGAATTGAATTGAATTGAATTGAAATAAACAGAAATTGGGGACAAAAATAAACAAAAAGGCTAATAATTCATGGGGCTAAAAATTCTGACTTCACCTGTATATGAAATATCAAAAATAACTAATAAATACATTGTTATATGTAGTAATGATAGCAAAATTTAATTCATCATTTTTAACAATATTTACTATTATTTTTATACTAATATCAAGGTACATCATAATTTATCATTTAAATAATTTGTTATGCATAACTTTCACTGATTTTTAAACTCAGTTGCTTTGCATATGGAGTACTTTATCATATAAACAAGGCTAAAATCAGCCTGAGTCTGATGTGGATCCTGCTGTGAAGGCCTTCTGTTTTTCATTGAGGCTCGTGTCTCAGTTACAGCACTTTCATTATGTCTGTGGGCTGAAGTCTGTGTTTAGCACATGTGTCCTGCACAGGCAGCACGCTCATGATTAGAGACCAGCTCTCGTGATGAGTTTTGTGGGCTCATCGCGGGTTAAGAGTAATCCCTCAACTGCAATAGTGGGACAGCACAAGTGCCTCCTTTAACCCGAAGAGAACAGAATGCTGAAGAAAATAAATACTTTATAAATTTTAATTAGTTTCAAAGGGTAACAAACTTAACATTTTAGATTTACTTTATAAACTTAAAGTCAGGTGAGGAATAAATCAGATGAGGGACATTCTGTCATTATTTATTCACCCTAATGTTGTTCCAAACATGTTTGACTTTTGTTTATCTTCAGAACACTATTAAAGATTTCCATGCCTCTCTATTGACCGTATATTCAGCTGAACATATCAAAATGCTCACGAAAAATAAATCCATATAGATTTTTTCTGCTGAAAAGACTTCAGAAGTCTGCTGAAAAGACATGGTCTCTGATAAACAGTTTTAATTTAATTGTAAATTTATATACATTTAAAGTCAGTTACATCCCATATAGTGATGCAGACGTCTCCAAAACTCGACAGGTGGACAAATCTAAACTTGTTTTTATTAAAACAAATATAAATATGCACAAAATAAATAATACTGATAATAATTATCATATTATTTAAATGCAAATTGTCATGAATAAACTGAAAAAAGCCCCCTGAGATAAAAGGCAGTGGCAAAGGCAGTGGTTTGTATATTTATGTTGAAAATAATACATTTTGTACCATTTTAATCGTTTTTTTTTTCCATATGTAAAGATATTTACGTATTGCTGTGCATCTTGTGTGTATTAAGCAATTTGTAAGTGTTTGGACCTGCATAGGCGCATCCTAGACCTTAGACCAGCTTTTAGTAGCTCAATGGCGCGGTCCATTTCAGTTCCTCAAAATAGCAATGCGCTAACAATGTACTGTAACACACCTCCTTTTCAGACCAGCACACCCACGATTCCACAAAGTGGTCCAAATGAATTTGCTTTTTAAACAACGTGGCACAATGTGTGCACAATACTGTTGCGGTGGTCCAAAAATAGCCACAAATCACGCCAAACACGTCTTGCGCCTTATTGCGCAGGGTTTATGATAGGGCACTCTGTCCTTCAATGTCTGGAATAAACCTTTTAATTTTTTATGATATTCCAGAAATTCCATGACCCTTGCATGAGAACCCTGTGTTATGTATTTTCCTATATTTTAAAATTAATTTGTGTGATTGTAAAGTTGAATATTCAGTAGACATTATTCCAGTGATCAGTGAGAAATTGACAAAAGAAATTGTTCTATTTTTAAAAAATATATCATTAACTTCAATTCAAAATGTTTTCCTTTAGAGTATAATGGACCTCCCTCTTCTTCTTTTATCTGCAGTCAAGCTAAATAAGGTAAACATGCGCTAAAATTAAAACCAAGAGTTTGAAATGGGAATTTCCTTTTGTGACGTTATAGACAGTTTGTTGTATATGACTGTGTAGTAATTTAGCAATATCTAAAATAATTGCGTTCCTCCCTCCCTGGCTTCAAATCATTCAAGTATTTAATTGAATTTAAAATTAAAACACTAATTCTAGACGAAACATAACCTGTGTTTTAAATCTTAAAGATAAGATGAGTGTAATATAGGAATAAGAGTTACATCAGGATAGCAGTTGAACTTTGTGAAGTCAGATGTTAGATAACATCAGTATTCTCATCGGAACCATATGTGACATCATCATTACAGTGTCAGGGAATCCACCCATTCGCCTTGACAATTATTTATGAACAGCATTTAATTAACGTGCAGTGTTTAAGGCTTTTTGCATATTAGGTAAGGGGGAAGCCTAAAACACTCACAAAAATAATTAAAATATACAGTTGAAGTCAGAATGATTAGCCCCCCTTTAAATTTATTTTTCTATTTTAAATATTTCCCAAATTATGTTTAACAGAGGAAAGAAATTTTCACAGCAAGTCTGATAATATTTCATCTTCTGGAGAAAGTTGTATTTGTTTTATTTTGGCTAGAATAAAGCTGTAAAAATAATTATAATAATAAAATCCTGGTTAATCAAAAACAAACCTAAAAAACTTGCTTTGGGAATTAAAAAAATAGCAGGAAAGCAAATAAATAAATAAATTATTAGTAAATTAACCGCAAACAGCGAACTACCCTTTTAAGACATGTGGCTGTTAGAAAATTTTTGTCAAAGCTCAGGAGGCTTAAAGATTTTTGTCATCTTTTTAAAAGTCAAAGACTAAATAGTTTAGATGTAGCCTATATTACGAATGTCTAAGACATTTAGAGAAAACGGTGTCAATGAAGACGACTGTATAAGAAAAAGAAGCGCTGTGTATCGTTTATAATTTACATGAAAGACGCTTTTTGTAGCCTTTAAAACACGATTGCATAAAAAAGCCACTGAATTTTGGTTCAGTCAACCTTAAGTCAACACCGCCCTCTGCTGGTATTAATCTGTGTTGGAACGTTTTTTAACAGCATTTTTCTATGTTAGGGTTCTATAGCAGATTACAATAACATAATACTTAAAACTGAAATTCATATCATATCATTGTTATATTGCATTGTATATGTCAATATTATAGATGTCAAACACACACACACACACACACACACACACACACACACACACACACACACACACACACATACACACACACACACACACACACACACACACACACACACTACCGATCAAAAGTTTGGGGTCAGTAGGATTTGTAAATGTTTTAAAATAAGCTTCTCCTGCTTACCAATGCTGTATTTATTTAATCAAAAATACAGTATAAATAATAAAATTGTTATTTGTTAATGCACTATAAAATAACTGTTCAAAAGTAGTTTATAATTTAATTCCATTATTTATTTCACTGATTTTAAAGATGATTTTTCAGCTTCATTACTACAGGCTTTAGAGTCACAAAATCCTTCAGAATTCACTCTAATAATAATAATAATAATAATAATAATTATTATTATTATTATTATTATTATTATTATTAATGGTAATAGTAATAAAAGCAATGATGACTGGAGTAATGTCATTTGAAGCTACGTACCATAAGAAAGCAGTTATATAAAATTGTAATAAATGTTTAACCGTATATTTTTTAACATTTAATAAATGCCGCCTCGATGAACAGTAATTTTCTTTAAAAAGAAAAACATAAAAAAAAAAATGACCCCAAATTTTTGACCGGTAGTGTGCATATACAGTATATACACAGTGGGGGAAATAAGTATTCTTAGAAAACATATTTCTAAAGGTGCTGCATGTTGACTTGAAGTTTTTTGTAATAAAATGAAATGACACAGGAAAAACAATTCATGTGACTTTATTCTGTATAAGACAGTCATCTTTCTGTTTTTATCAATGCTTAATCAATACTTTTTTTGTGTCATTTCATTTTTTTACACATATCGTAATTTTTAAACTAATGAGATTTGTTTTTACATGTAATGTATTTCTTTAGTTGGTATCAACATCTGGTGAAAGGTTCAATACAATAACACCTAGCAAGGGCATAGAATTGGCATAGATAGAGGAGATGTGTCCCCACTAATATCCACCAATTACTGAAATGTCCCTACAAATAATTTTATCGACTTCAAAATAAAATAATTCTCCGTCAACCCTTAGTAACCTATTTGTGCACAAAGGGTTATAGTTGCTGTGAGTTTACTATAATACTATTAACCAAGGCTGTGCAATTAATGGAAATTCAGTTTGGATTTTGGCCTCTATGATTATAAATAACAATAATCAGGATAAAACTAGCTAAATTTCTCTTCATTCATACCTCCTCGAAGCCAGATTGCAGTAAAATCATGTAAATTGACTCTTGCAGTTATTTTATATTATTTGGTACTTTGTTCATGTTTTTACAGGTGCAAAACAATTTGCGCAATACACGTGCTCTAGGGATGTATGTCCCCACCAATGCCAAGACCAAATCTACCTTGGCACCTAGAAATATGTTTTCTGAGGAATATATATATCAGGTCACTGATGACACAATCTATATGTTTTTAAGTCATTAGTAAATTGATAATTGTATTTATTTTCTGAGTGTTGTGAAATAATCAGTATAAAGGGTGCACCCCTGTGTTGGAACTACTATGTTAAAACAAATCTGCCATCCAGAGGCAAAGTGCATACAGATTTTATTCTAAAATGGCTTTGTGGCATTGGTTCTGTCTTGTGACACGGTCTCCTGGTTCAGTTTTTTCCCCCATTTTTAGAAAATCAAAAAGATTGTAATTAAAAAATAAATTGTTATTCTTTTATGTTACTGCACTTTAGCTTTATAAATGGCAATGTTTCCTAACCATGTTCCTGGAGGCACACCAACACATATTTTGCTTGTCTCTCTTATCCGACTTATTCAGGTTTTGGAGTCTCTCCTAATGATCTGATGAGTTGATTCAGGTGTGTTTGATTAGGAAAATGTTGAAAATGTGTATTGTTGGTGTTCCTCCAGGAACAGGGTTGGGAAACAATGCTATATGGCATAAATAAAATGTGCATTTGCAGTTAATTGTCAGTATTTTAATAGCATTTCGTTAAAAGTGTTCCATAATCATAAACTGTTTCTTACAGACACACTGGATAAGAGGTAAATGACAACGCTGATGGTCTTTTGAATGCTTCATTTTTATTTCTCTGATCAATACGTGTCATACACTAATACACAACGTTATTGGTTTTCAGGTATAGAGCATGCACACATGGTTAGTTACATTTTGTTCCACCAGAGAGTGGCTGACAGGGATTCACAAGTGTTTCGATTTCGTCTACTTCCTGATGGATGTAGGTGCCGTTGACCAAGGTCTTTTTCATTTGGTTGTTGTTATACACTCTTGTGATCTCACCAGTGAACGGGACTTCAGTTTTTAAGATATTGCTTGTAATGTCAACGGTGCAGGAATGGTTAGGCGGAATCTCCACATCCGTGCTCACAGAATGAAGGTTTTTCTCAAGTACAGATGTAGTGTTAACTCGAGATCGTGAGCGCTCATACTTAAACCCAAGTTTTCCTAGTATTTTTGCAATACTTGGGATTTCACCAGAGACTGACACCTCTGTGTTGATTCCGAATGTACGGACTTTACCAATTTGATAAGAATATGTTTTATCGATGTTTTGGTCCAGTTTTACTGTATGTTTTGATGATTTGCAGTTCCTGTTGGAAGCTTTGAAATGTTTGAGCACTTCAAGGTTTTCTGTTGTCACCGCACTTGATATTTGATACTCAACAACATTTAAATGTTGCACTTTAATGTCAGTGTTTATGGCGAGCACTTCCCCATCAGTTTGTGTCTTCATATCTGCACTTTTAGCAATACATTTACCACATACCACCAGTGACATTGGTGGAAACTTTTTATTGCTGTATTTCTTCCATTCCAGCAGTTCAAAGTTATCCCTGTTCACTAAAAACATCAAGTCTTTCAATGTTGAAATTTTAACAGATTCCCATTTCCTGTTGGACAATATTTTAAAACATGACTCTGATTTGCTGTCGTAAAAGCAAAGCTCACATTTCGAGACATATTTAGCAATGTAATATTTCTTTCCTTCTTCGGAAAATAAAACTGCATCTTTCGGCACTCCTTCTGATGTGACCCACTCCAAGTTGGTGTTTTGATCAGATGCTTTCTGGTCAACGTTTAAGACCTTTTCATCAGTATTCGATTCAATGAGCGCCAGTTCACGTGGATGTCGCTGATGGTGGCTCTCTGAAAGCTCTGCAGAAATCCAGAACAGAAACACAAAAGGCTATTAATGTTATATAAGGTGTCTACTTGTGCATTCAGAGCTTAAAGAAAATCATGTCAGTCATTAATATTAATAGTTACATAATGTCATTTAGCAGACATTTTTGTGATTCAATAAAACGATTCAACATGAAAAGACAATACATGCAAGAAATGCTACAAAGGAACTGAAAAATAAGAGCTAGAGTAAGGAGCGAAAGAGGAAAGGATGAGTTTCAGACACTACAATATGAAATTCTGTCATCATTTTACACTCCACAACCTTAACCAAACTTATATGAGAGCTTGAAAAAAATAGGAGAGTTTTCAAACTAAATTTATTATTTATTATTATTTATTATTTATAATAATTTAATATATTATCACAATTGACATAACAACAACTCATAGTAATTGTTCAATGTGTAAGCATACCAGCTCTTTCAGAGGCTGGACTGAAATCTCCCCCGTCTTGGAGTAAAATTGTCAGCAGCAGAGCAAACACGATCCTTGTGATGATCTCCATATTCAACTGATTTCACAATGTGTCTGTGAAAATCACACATAAGACAGACCTCACACACAGGTTTAATGACATGTCTTGAAAGACCACTGTTCAGTATTGAAAAAATGATTTATTTTCATTCAGAGCTTTTAGTCCACAGTCATTTTTTAAGATATTCATTTTCTTTTCGGCTTAGTCCCTTTATTAATCTGGGGTCACCACAGCGGAATGAACCAACATATTCAGTATATATTTTATGCAGCGGATGTTCTTCAAGCTGCAACCCATCACTGGAAAATACCAATACTCTCATTCACACACATACACTACGGACAATTTAGCTTGCCCAATTCACCTACAATGCATGCTGTGAGGGAAACTGTAGCACCTGGAGGAAACCTACACAAACACAGGGAGAACATGCAAACTCCACACAGAAATGCCAACTGACCCAGCCGAGGCTCGAACCAGTGACCTTTTTGCTGTGAGGGGATATTTTGAGTTTAATTTCAAAATGGGCAGTTTTCTTAAATCACATTTCAAGCACAATCATAAAACATAATTTATGAAAAGTAGATAATAATGCAGTTCAGCCTACAGATTTATTTATTTGTTCTTTTGACAGTATATTCACACTGTCATAAATAAAGGTACAAGAGCTGTCAATGGGGTGGTGGTATCGGTACACATTTATACTTAGTACCGCAATGGTACAAATTATTTGCCTTGTTTCCACTGAGTGGTACAGTTCAGTTTGCTATGGGTTACCTTTATGGGCTTGTCTCCGTTGCCAAATGGTAGGCTACAGAAAGTTGCAGATATTTGCACTTATTACTAAACAGATGATTTAGCTACCTAAATACATGTATATGTTAATTACTAACCTTTCTATGGACAGGATATTATAACTGCAGATCAAGGATATGAAATAGTCTACTGTAACATCTGTAATTATATATATTTAAAAATAATAAAACATATTTGAACATATACAGACTCTTAAATGAAATGACACAAACCATACATTTGGCCTTATTTGGGTTCAATATGAAACATCAGTAGGCTACAAACCTCTCATCTATCTTTGTTCTTAACCAGCACATGTAACATCTTGTTAAAGGTAATTCAATCATTCCGAGTTCATAATTGTCCAAAATACGATGATAATAATTAAACATGGCAGTTTGTTCATGTTTTACGTTGCTGAAAAGAATTTGCTCCTTTGTTTTTTTGGGGGCTTCTCCTTTGTTTTTTGTGTGTTTCTGAAAGCATGTGAGCAACTTCTATGAGCTCAAGTTAATTATTTCAAATATAGACACGCAAATGAGTTCTCTAGAAAAAGTGAAATCACTTGCACTTTTCACAAGCTTTTAGACGGCCTAGTAAACAACAACAGGACACACAGATCTTGCTCTTCTTCTTAGGTTTGTGGTTGTTTGTCACAAAACGAAGACAAGATTTGTTTGAGCTCGGGCCGACCATGACTTGCCATTAGTATATATTATTATGATGTTATGTCTCGGCTGTGTATTTAAAAATGGCACTTCTCTTGTTTTCATGCTCCTGGCTTGTTGCACACAATGATGACGTTTCTCTGTAAACCAATTGCGTTCAGCTGGGTGTCTAGCTCTACCCTTTACTGTTCTGCCATTTTGGTACCCTTTGGAAAGGATACCCAAAAAGTGATTTGGTTCGGTTCACTTTTTGCTATCTTTTGACAGTGGAAACGAACACATAAGCATACTAAACTGTACCGAATCACTCAGTAGAAGCAGGCTGTTTCTTATCATTTTCAAGCAGCATGCTTTTAATACTTTTAAGGTACTAGCTTTGGAAAAATATGTGTACCATTTGAAAAGGTTAACAAACTGACAGATCCCATATTGTTTTTGAGACTGATCCTGTAATACAAATCAAAATGAGAAAGAAAACAGCTTATGTTGCATTTCATATCTAATACAATGTCTTACCTGTGAATGGTGTGAGCTGGGAGTGAAGATCTCTGTTATCGGTCCAGTGGACCTACTTCTTACACTCTTTTATAGTCTTGAGATGATGCAAATGTATCGTTGTGCCACACACTTTTGTTTCTATAATTTGTCACATAATCTCTTTACATGTAAATTAATCCCTTCATTCTATTACCCAATCATTTTAATAGCTGTTATCTAAAACGTTCCATACATTACCACTTACTGGTGTGCCGCCTTTGGCCATGTGAATAAGTTTATCTAAATTCTCTACAATTCTCCACTGTGCTATCTGACATTTATTTAAAACAGAGGATCCAATAGTAAAGACCTGATAAATTAGATAGCCGTTGAAAGAACTAATATGCATGTGCAGGTTATAGCGCTTTAGTGTATTCTTCTGGTAAAAAAAGAATAAATGTTAGTTAGAATCTACTTAATAAAATACGTTGGGACAACACAACGCTATTCGACCCTCTCTGCATTCCTGTGTCTTTCACGCGGTATATGATTACAATAGTTGAACTTTTCAAATAACATAAGTCTTGGTACATGGGTTTCTACTACATTTATTTATTTACTCATCTAGTTATTTAAGTCATATTAAGTTACAATGCAAAACCCAATCATTTAGGGGAACTCAAACCATTTGAGGACAGGGATTGCCTTAAATATTTCATTTTAAAAAATAATATTTATTAGTACTGTGAACTCCATTTGTGTCCAGGGAATATTAAATACAATTGTAATGCCACTGAAATAACATCATTTAACATGTGCTCTTCTTAAACAGTCTATTGGTTTTACTTATTCCAGTTGAGTTTGCTTAATTTTTTGAGTTAATGAGTTCACACAACTTCTGTAATATTTGAGTAAAGTCCAGCTTGTTTTATTTGATATGCTTGAATATTATGTTTTTGACTTATATTTTACTTTTATTGACAATGCATGTAGGTCTTACGATAAGTCTCTCTTCCGTGGAAACCATTTTCCGCAATATATGTAAAAAAAATAAAAAAACAAGGCTTTAGAAGTCAGTATGGTGATTTGAATGTAAAGTTAGATCATATAAATATAAACTAATAGAAAATGCACCAATAATTTACTAAAACACATTTGAGGAGTTAAAACAAGTAACTGACAATTTCAAGGTTACAAATGAAAGGTTTCATGGCCTCTCTGAAGTTTTAACAAGTAAGATATAAAATTGTACATGTTTTAGTAAGCCAGGTCAAACATGTTGATTTGATTAACTTGAACAATGAGAATGTTTTGGAGTATTCCAGTTCTATTAAATCATTTTGTTTTTTAATGGTTTTCTTTAATGGGATTGACTTTTACGTCATAAAATAAGACCCATAAAAAGTTTTACATTCTTATAATTTAGTTATTACATTCAGAAATTTAGATTGAAGATAAAAAAGCTATCAAATTTAGTATGGTTTAAAATGCGTTAAAAGCAAACTGTAGAGGCATACACATATTCACAAGGTGCTTGTGGCTTTAGAGTGACCTATATTTCACTGTTTGTTTCAATACACCTTGTTAATTTTAAACACTAAGTGCCTTATCAAAATTCCTGTGTAACCTTATAGTGTATTTGTTAGTGCTCTGCATGTAAATCATCCTTGCACTTTTCATTTATCTTTCATTTGTTATCTGTTTGTTCAGCTTTCTCACTGAATTGTGATATCTTAAATTTATTTAAAACAGCAGGTCTATAAATTGTTTAATGGTCTTTTGGGGACCCAATAAGGCTGTTCCATAGTGTACTTTGTCATTGAATGAGTTAAAAAGCATAACAAGTATTAACCAGGTATCATACACATTTTTACTACTAAAATTCCATGACTTTTCCATGATTTTTTCAAGACTTTCAAGTACATTTTCATGACCTAAATGTTTCATGCAAGGTCTATACCTAAGAGGTAAAAGAAAAACAAAGCATGTTCAAATTTATTACATATCGTAAAACACGCAGTTATCTATTTAGTTTTAATTATTATTTATATATATCTAAAATTGGTTTAGATGATGCTTACACCACACTAATAATGTGAGAGTATGTGATTGGCCAAGGACAGAAAAGAAGTAAATAGCCCATATACAGTTGAAGTCAGAATTATTAGCCCCCCTTTAAATTTTTTTCGCTTTTTTTTAAATATTTTCCAAATGCAAAGAAATTTTCATAGTATGTCTTATTTGTTTTATTTCAGCTACAATAAAAGCAGTTTTTATTTTTTAAAAAACCATTTAAGGTCAAAATTATTAGCTACCTAAGCTATAGTTTTTATTTGATACAGAACAAACCATTGTTATACAATAACTTGCCTAATTACCCTAACCTGCCTAGTTAACCTAATTAACCTAGTTAAGCCTCACTTTAAGCTGTATATAAGTGTCTTAAAAAATATCTAGTTAAATATTTACTGTCATCATGGCAAAGATAAAATAAATCAGTTACTAGAAATGAGTTATTAAAACTTTTAAATTCTTCTCTTCGTTAAACAGAAATTCGGGGGGAAAAAATAAACAGGAGCGCTAATAATTCTGACTTCAACTGTAAGTATAGAGATATCCGTTTTCCATGACTTTTCCAAAACTTTGTGGGTTTTTGTTTTTTCCGAAACTTTTCCAGACCTGGAAAATGGCATGTCAAAAAAAACATGACTTTTCCAGGTTTTCCATGATCGTATGAACACTGATTATCTTATTTATTTAAAAAAAAAAAAAGAAAAAAAATCCCCCAGAATTGTAGTTTGTTACTTACAATTTCAAGTTTATGTCTCAGATTTTGAAGTAAGTCCAAATTGAGAGTTTCTCCATCAAGAATGTTCCCCTAACGTTCCCTTTTTGGTTTTTTTAGAAATAAAATAAAATGAGTTTTCTGTGAGATCATGTGTGAACATCCCTAGAACATTGCAGGGAAATATTTTGAAAGAAAATGTTTTGGTAACCAGGAAATAAAGTTCCCACAATGATCTGAGAACCAAACATTGCCAATTCTGACTGTATTTTTCTAATAAATAATGAGTAAATCTGAGTTAAATTTGCACAATTTAGATTTAAACAATTAAAGTTGATAGCTGAGATGCAACTCAAAGCATATTTAAGATGATTTAAGGCATGGATTCCACTCACTTTGTTTATTTTTAGACCATTGTTTAAATACTTTATGTAAATATTCTAATTAAAAATAATTGGCTTAAATTATTTTTATTGAGGAAACTTGTACAGCCA